CTCGATAAAAGATCAGATTAACATATCAAACACTGCTTAAACCAATGCACTTTAATTAAAAAAACAACACTTTGTGAAATAGCGCGCCTAAGATCTCCGCAAGGGCTGGCGTACGTTATATGGCCGCTTTTTTTGAGCTTCGCCGATGTCGGGTCCAATGGGTAATCATGCCTCGTTAGTCTTTGACAATTTCCATGTTGCATACTCCCACGGGACGGCGTTAAGCTTTCCCATAGTAGAGTACTTAGTATACTCTAAATCGTTACCTACTTTTTCTAACCCCCCCCCCCCCCCCCCCCCATTACTCCAACGGCAAGGAATGCCCGCGGGACGGCTCCATGCTCTCCCATTGTAGAGTACGACGTACTCTAATCGTTTCCCACTCTATAAAAAAGTAGTAGTCCCGCAGCCGTCAAAGGGCGGACCAAGGCTCGCTGGGCGCTTGTGGTCAGGAGGTTGGCCATGACCGCTAAGCGCCTTGCCATGAACAAACATGAGAGCGGACACTCCGGCGGGGTTTTGCGGCCGAGCTGCTGCGCTCATTTTAGCGCTACGAGTGGCTGGTCAGACCCTATGTCTTCAGCATATATAAATCAAGCAAATAAGTGCTTATTTCTGATGATGGCATATCCCTTATGCTCCGTAAGCGAGTGACTTTACCACTAGGCTACACACCCATGTTTCCAATAAGGGAATACATGTACAGTCGGTCACACTTATTAAGGGAAATCTCAGAACGTACGAATCGTTGTGCGGCCAGTACTTCAGCCATGCATTGGCAGCAGCTCCCGCATGTGCAGACACTAGAAGGGCCGTTGTGTTGAACCGTATCGTCTGCTCAGGCTAGTAAAGCGCTGGCCGCACCACGTGTCATGTGCTCTGAGATTTACCCTAAGTGTGAAACAGACTGTGCATCCACGTGAATGCTCCGTAAAACCACGTGAATTTGTACCCCTAGTGCAAAACAAATGCAGAAAAATAACGCTTCTTAGTCAGACTTCACTGATTTTGGTGGTAGTGCATTAAACTTCCTCAGCAAGACACGAAGCAGAGTCGGCATAAAGAATCGGAGAAATCAATAAAAAATTGTATTCGCAAAAAAGTCACCGCTTTGCTGCAAAGGCGAAGCAATGAACACAATTGCAACAAATTCGAAGGTCACGCTAAGATCGGAAAGCAGCTCGAAACGTGCCCCGCGTTTCTCACGCACAAATGACGCACGAAACGTACTCACAGGTACAGATCGATGCACGCGAATAAGCGTCTCAGTTGTTACTTCGCTGTGTCTGAAAAGCACGCCCTTTTCGCAAACAGAGACTGTGCAATTATTGCAGTGGCCTTTGTGCCACTGGTAACTACAACAGAACCATTCCGGTAAAATCTCAAGGGCAGCCTAGACGTACGATCCTCCCTACCACGAGATAAGGGCGCGCGAGCGAGTGTCTATTCCCTTCTCTCCACGGGGCAAATTACGCTCGGGAGATGAGAGAGCGCGCCGAGCATCGGGACGATGTGGCGACGCGCACTCATTGCGCCATTTTTCGGGTAATGCTGAAAACACGATAGTCCTCCCGAGATGCCCGTCAACAGCGGTAAGTGTTATATATAAATAGCTTGCCGTTTGAACGTTAGACGTGCTTCTCGGTGGTTCAGTGGTTAACGCCTCGCACTCATGGCTGAGAGGACCCAAGTTGGATTCCGCTCGCCGGAGTCTTTTCATGTTTTTTTTTCTTTCTTGCGTTTTCATATATATGTAGATATGAAGACATATGCGGTCAGAGACGTTGACGCCGGCGGCAAAATCCAACCGAGTGTCCATGTAATTGCTAACGCAATAAAAGTAACATTGTAACACAAAATGACGAAAGCCTGGCGTTATATACTCTTGTAAGGCGAATGAGCCGCAACGAGCAAGCACACATGTTTAGTAGAAAACCGACTCTTGTAACGCCTCATCCGAAGACTTTTGTCTTTCCCTGTCTTTTTTCAAATATGGACAGAAATTAGCGAGGTACCCACCACCACGCTTTGGTGAAACAATACGCGCACACATGTAGCTGCACTCTACAAACTTGAAGTCAGCCGGGGACACCAGTGGGGCCCATCCTCATTCTTCGTTATTAAGGGTGGGCTCAGCCCCCCTCATCAGGTCAACTGCAGCACAGCAGGGCCCAATCGACAAGCATTGATCTTTCTTGTTTTCGGGGATGTTTTTTTTTCTCGGGAAAATAGTACTCTCCGATTTTATTAATAACTATTCAATGGTGATTTTTGGGTTAATATGGCTGACCGAAACGGACAAAGAGGTATACCGTCATATGGCTGCGTGCATTTCCTCGAGACGCTACACATGACAGTTCACGACCCTGCTCGACGAAGCTTCTCGGCAGCGCATACTGTTTCACGTGCTCGTGAATGAGTTGGAAGGTTCAACTTGGTCTATTAACGTTACCAGTGAATTGTCGTTTCTTCAACTCTGCATTAAGAGCCTGTTGCAATACCAAAAATGGATGTAATTTGACTACATTTTTAGCTAAGTATATATGCGTGAAAAATAAACATATAGCGTTGTTGCGCCGTGGGTTTCCAAAGCAGCGAGTAAATTATTGACACGCGTTGCCACTCGGTTACTTCATTTGATTTCGAGTATCTGTAACCCTTAGCATAAAGTGTTCTTTTCCTCTTTTTTTTAGAAAAGAACTTTCCAAAATACCAATTTTAATGTTATTCATTGAAACGGTACATTATATAAGCGCTCTAAGAACCCTCGGAGTAAAATCTCGTTCATTTGAACTCGAAGGGGACAACAAAGTTGTTCGAATTAAGTGAAGTTAGAATTAGTGGTCGTGTCTAGGATACATGTTCTAAAACAGTCTTTTTGAAGGCTTCCTATCGCGTCAGCTTCACGCTTTCGCAAAGACGAATTGAGCGCGCAACTTGCGCCTCGAGCTACATCTTTATTACTTTAACTTTTTTTTCTACGATTCCTACTGCAGTCAACCACGGTGGATTTTTCTGCTCTTGAGACACACATGTAAACAAAAAATCCGTCTCAATAGCTGCCGATGAGACATGTCTACGATTCACGTCGGGGCAACGTTTCTAGACTAGGTAAGTTGCAAAACTCCCCGCGTCAGACTACTCCTCACACGGCGCCGGGACAGCTTCCGGTTTGGTGGCACTAGCGGCGCAACAAGCTTCCGCTAGCAGACGAAAACGCGTGGTCGTCGTGGCAAGACGCCGTGGCGGTCGTTCTGAAAGAGCTTTGCCAAGAGTATATTATCGAGAATTGTTGTGCTGCCGCAGAAACTTAATACTGCGTAATATTTAGTGGTGTAAGGCAAATACAGTATAATTATGGTTTTCGAAACTACCCACAATAAACAATGCTTGATATATGTGGCATAACATACGAGTCTGTCGGTTAGTTGCTAGTTGGTGTACGTTCGCAATAGATTTTTAGACGCGAAAAACCCAATTACAATGTCTGGCATCCTCTTTTGTGGCTGTGTTTTTCGGGCTTGAAAATTAATTACAGCTATGTGGCGCAATCTTGTGGCTTTTGTCTGGTTAAGTAGTCAGCTTTTTTTTTTCATATCAGTCACATTCTTTAGCAACTTAGACCGTCGAAAAGCTACGCGTGCGGCCATTTTCTTGAGCATGTCTTCCCTCTGCTTCTTCTGGAGTTCCTCTAATGAAACCGGTTAACACAGCTGCAGCCAAAGCTTCGAGCAGAGACCACGCTTTGGGGTATCGGTGAGCACTTCGTAGTCAATACTCACGAGTCTGCCTACTGACGCATTGGGACAACATGAACACACTTGCAGCTTTTCTATGTCCTCCAGAAGTTCTGCCCATTGGATGATGGTATCTGCTTTGCCAGGCGACTTGGCTAAGCGATAGTGACGGCTGCTAATGGTGACTGTCATGTCTTCTGCGACGACAACGCATTTCTCTACAAATAGCGCTCTTTTTTTTTTCTTTGAGCCCTAGAAACACAAGACGTTTTGTCTCGCCATCAACGTTCCGCCAGCATGCAAAAACAAAAAAACAAAAAACGTTTTCTATGTCTTGAAGCGAAATGACGCCACTAGTTGACGGCATGTCGAGACTTATTTCACTGTCTTCAAGCTCAGTGCTCGGAGATAGTCTATTCGTTTTCGCCGATGATATTCTGGAAACTACCCCACTCCTATCGGGCAGCTTTCGCTTCTTTGTCACGGGCCCCGCGACAAAGGTAAGCGGGCAAATTCGAGAACATTCGTGGAACGCATCCTTCGACGAGGTCTCACTTTCCTCTTGCGATTTGTACCTTCTTACCATATGACGTGAGTGAAAGTCTTCAGGATGTCCTTCTCATGAAAGTGCATATCATACACACGTGAGGTGCTGGGCAGTTTCTAATCCGCACGAGGAATAGCGTGCTCCCATACCTCTCGCTGCTCAGGTACACGTGGGTACAAAAGAAATGCCGTGGTGTCTCTCATTTCCCGTAGCTACTCTACAGCCGAGAACGCAACATCCGGGCATGATGAAAACACGCAACACATTCAAAGCAGAACAGGGCGCGCTGAAGCACAAAAATGTTCACGCAGAAAAAAGCCTCCACAGATATCGACGCACTGCAACATGCACAGCGATGGACGTTACGGGAGTGACACGAGCGAGCTAGGTGTTCTGTGAGCGAGCATGCAGTGAGTGAATCTGGATGCGACAGCAGCGGCCGCGCCGCGCAACATCGCTCAGTTTTGCAGCTTACCTAGTCTAGAAACGTTGGTCGGGGGCACGAGCTTGACTCACGCCCTGAACACGCAGCGTCGTCTGCTCCAAGCTTGGGAGGAGGAAGGGGCGCACGCCATGCTGCACCTCCCTTTGAGCAAGTGCAGGCGGGCCAGCACAGAACTCGTGCACTGCGCCGCACTCCCCACCGGGCAGCAGAAATTAGGTGCCTTTCTCCTCTTCTAACCACTACCACCACCACTACACGAACGAGGAAGCCAGTGCAGAGCCCGCGCGCGGCACCATTAAATCGAGAAAAAAGGTGCATAGAGTTAATATACAGACTCAGTTAATATACAGGTAATATTTAACTCTATGAAAAGGTGCTGCACTCGTTGAATTGGTGCTGCCGGTAGACATCGGTGCAGCTGCAGGCCGCAAACTGATCCAAGACAAATCCATGACAAATCTATCCGAAGCATAGAGCATGCTACAGTGGCTAGAACATGGCGGACATGGCGGTTGATGTGAGGCTCTTTTCTGCCGGAAAGCGACATCACGGCGAAAACACCCGACCAAAGGGACTTGTTGCTCCTGGAGATGTTATTACAACAGATGCGGGATTTATGAGGTAAGTGAAGCTTGCCTTACATATGTCGATATTTGACTCCTGCAGCACGCAACACCGGTCGCGGGAAGTCGCAGTAGTGTTGCATGCATGATTTCTTGTAAAATCAAGTGAAATATTTGTTTGCATGTTGTTTAAATGATTGTAACTGACAGTGTTGGAGGCCGGGGTGGTGCGAAAACAAACGAACGAAAAAAAAAACGCAGTGGCGTAGCTACAGATGGACGGACGACCGTCCGGACGCACGGATGGACGAACCACGCATGGGCCCATGAAAGCTGCAATGTGGGCTTGGTGATGCGTTTATGTTGCGCGAGGCGAAATGCGGAAACAAGAAGGAATAGACTGAGAGGACGGAGCGCTACTTACAACACACTTTAGCAATTGTGGATAGGGGAGGGAATAGTAAAGGTCAGTCACATCAATTGAGAAAGCTTTTAGCCCTTCATCTTCATGAGCTTTCATGGCGTCTAAAATTCTATCAGAGCTCTAAAACTAAAAACGGGCCTCGAACTTTAAGAAGACTAAGTTTGTCTAACAAAAAGCAGCGAGTTCCTTATGCCAGGTACCTATTTCCGAGATTGACTCGGGAAGGAGTGTTAACTTGGTGAGTTTTTGCATTAAAGAATACGTCCAGGCTATTCTTCTCATTCTTTTAAATACTTTTAAGAGTTCTAACAACGTTCATGTTTTTTTTCAAAACTGCATAGCGTTTGCTTTTACAAAGGGAACTTGCTGCTTTTTTGTTAGACTAACTTAGCCTTATCGAAGTCCGAGACTAGTTTTCAGTTGAAAGCTCCTATAGTATTTTAGGCTTGATGGAAGCTCATGATAATGAAAACATTAACCGTTTCCTCCCCCATCCACAATTCCTAAGCTCTGTTAAAAGTAGCGCTCTGTCCTCTGTCTATCTCTTTATGTCTCCGTATTTCGCCTCGCGCTGCAAAAGTTCTATCAGTTACACGCAGGGGCTGCACTAGGACTTTATTTTACAGGGGGAGGGGGGGGGGGACTTCTTCGGATAAGTGGTTTTTTTCAGGGGAGCAGGGAGGCTGGGAACCAGGGTTACCCGGCAGTGCAAATCTCAGCCAAATTGGACCTCGCAGTAGCCCAAACGTAGTCAAATGAATAATTTTGAAGGAGCCCAAAAATAGCCAAATCAGTTGTTTCTGTGGGAATTTTTTTTTTTCACTTATAGGATTACTTTTTCATAAAAATTTCTGCCCATCAATTTGTTAACAAGCAAAGTATTGTGCATAGTAACTGGTGGCCTACAAGGTGCTTTTTTTTTTTTTGCTGCCGTATGAGTGAAATAGTTGTATCATGTAATATATATATATATTTCCTTTTTGGCATTCACAATAGGGGTTCGCTTATGTGCAATATGGAAAAGGTTTCTTGTCACTTTCAAAACAAAACTTTCAGCACTGAAAGCCTATTTACAAGCAGACATTGCGAAGAATTCAGCACAGATAACCTCTGGAGTGTAAACCTTATGCAAGAATAAAAGTTAATGATGACTGGTCACATGTAACTTAGTAGCGAAAGGTGAATTAACAAGTCAACAGAAATTAAGACATCATGTAGCTGTTAAGTAAATAAAACCAACTGAAATAAAGAACAAACAAATAATATGTAAGTAAGCAAGTTAAAGGACTTCAGCATATAAAACCAGCTGTCCTTGCATCATGCTGAAGCACCCAGAGTTCACAGGTGCCAGTTAGCCAGCTATCAGAAAGCTCCTGTGGACTACAAGATGAGCAACCAGGCTCAGCATGATAAGGTTACCATGGCAATGTCCTGTACACTTTTGTACTGTACACTTATGCAGCCTTACATCACAATTTTACGTATGGATGGAACTTTTTTTTTTTTTTTTGAAGGGGCATCTATAGTGTGGAGCAACTATAGCGAAACACAAAACGACATAGTATGGTGAAGCAGTCGGTCCCGAAGATAGAAAATATATTATCTTCGAAACGCAGTTCCTTCTCCCATTCCTTCTTGTAGTTCCGAGTGTACTCTGCCCATTCTGGAGCTCCTCGCAGAGCATTGGGCATTGAAGTTAAGTTTACAAGTATGTTGAAGGAGGGTGCAAAGCTCCATGGTTTATGAGCTCTTGCGTACATATCACATGAATACCGCCTACCTGGTAAGTGGCTTGCTTCACTGCGACGATGGAAAGCGAGATGCTGAGCTTGCACAATTTATTCCAAGGCAAGCAGAGAGACTGCATTACAGCACTTGGCTGTGACAACATGACAAATAAAACGTGCAAAGTAACGTCTTCAACCTCACACCTAAAACTCACTGTCACCTCTTGAGAAGCACGAATAAATACACCAAAGTCCAACCCTGAAACATCGTTTTCAAAGGAAGCTAAAGTGTATGCAAGGAAAAACAGAGCCTCCCTCCCCCTACCCGAAGTGAATATCAGTTTTCTCCGCACTTGTGCAGTTTTTAGCCCTGCCGCTCTTTCATAGATTCTGTCTTAGGTGCCGATTCCAGCCACCTTTCTAGCCACTCTATAGTGCCGTGCAGTCCCTAGAAGTTGGTGAAATACCACGCCCAGTTGCAGCGGCTAATTGTTTCAGGTTCACTGTTGCCTAAGTGTAATCACTCGAAGTTTATCGCTCAGTCGACACCAATGTAGCCCAAAAATAGCCACATAAACAAAGAGAAAAAATTGATGCCTACTGGAAAACAAAATATCCCAATTGGGCTATCAATAGCTCAATCTGGTAACCCTGCTGAGAACACATGCCTTGTGTTTTCGCTAGGCTTGACCTTGTAGGGAGGTGGGGCAAATCGGTAAGTGGGAATGTGCGTGTGGGGGGGGGGGGGGTTGGCTCTAGCTACCTCTGTAACCGCACACGAATGTAAGGACAGACTAACTTAAACTAAACAACCTGTTATTATATTTTACACTCAAATAACTTTTTTCAATAAATAATAACTAAGAATATTGTTTGTATAATTTATAGCAGCGCTTAAATGAAATACTTTTCGAAAATGCAAGGGCGTCTTGATATGGCGGCTGGCCTTCCGCATAGCAGACGACACTGTCGTCGTCTGCTTCTGCGTCATGGCTGACCCCCACTCGTTGCAGCAGCCCCCTCTCTCAATTTCTCTCGTTTCCATACAGTACATCAGTAAACTACTTACTAAAAGCCCACAAGTATCTTGCATACTTACTTTAGTGAGTGATGCCGTATACAGGTCGAGCGAAACGACGACTCATATCACACAAACCTTGCAGCAATAAAATGTTTTATTGCGAGTAATCAATATTTACACAAAATAAAAGCCAAGTAAGTAACGCTTTAGCATGTACAGCAGTGAACATATGCATGCATCAGCGTTCATGTGCCAATAAGGTACATGCTACGCGTAGCCCCAATGCAGATCCCCGGAGCTCAGAAACTGTCCAGTGCTGGCTGTTGTATCCATCGTACTTCACAAAACCTTCGCTGGACTGAGTAAAGAGGTGTACCTCTAATGGTTCTGCACTTTTGTTGCTCAGTATGTCGTAACACCTCGTTGACAGTATTCAGCGAACTTTCTGTCATTGATATCAACATATGCGTGTGCCTTTCACAAGCAGTGTGGTGGGGCTGTATGTTTGCTGGTTCGCGCCACTGCGCTGCCTAAAGTGGGTCACTTTCCCATCTTTAACACGTCCGCACTATTCATGCTTATAAATGCCTAAAAAAAAAAGAGAAAGAGCTTTTTATGCGTACCATTTTCAAGTCTTACAATTGAAATTGTCGAAAAAAAGGCTTTGATGACGTTTCGTTTGTCGCCTGCGGTGATGCACTGTCATCGTCGACGGGGGCGACAGCTGTAGGTCCGGACGGGAAACTCGCAACATGCCACTGGCTTGCCTACGACGCGCCAGCTGTGCGGCGTGTTACGTCACTACTCCTCGGGCTTGCACAAAACTGCTCACCGTAAGACACACAAAACTGCTCAACCTCTGCCAGTGTAGCTTATGCTACAAAAAAAAAAAAAAAAAAAACGACGAGGGAGGGTCTCGATAACGAGAGAAAAACGACTAAGAAGAGAGAGTAGGCAGCAGCTGCGGTCGTACCGTTTTCACTATTCACATTCACACCATTTGTCTCTTCTTTTCCCTTTCAGAGGTCACGGAACATATATAGACAATGAACAGCTTCTGTCATCTGTAGCGGGGGCAGTGGAGAAAGTTAACAAACTCATCACTGTTCGTCCGCTCAAAACACGGTGCGTATACAACTTCGACAACTAGCAAACTTGTCACATACGCTGGCGCTAACGTTTGAGTCCTTGTACGGTAGCGCCAGCCTGGTGTGATATGATGATACAGTGGGGAACTTGATGTATCACACAAAAATGTTCAATGAAGTCATGGTGCTGATAAGACGGGGACCAAGAGAAGAGGACAGGACGTGCGTACGTCCTGTCCTCTTTCTTTGATCCACGTCTTATCAGCGCTGTGGTTTCGTTGACCGTAAGAAACACCTAGCCCAAAAGTCTGCTGTCCGAAATTTCAAGCCATAGTGGTTCTGGCCTGTAAATCGTTTTGTGTAAGAGGTGTTTCGTCTAACCAGTTGCAGTGTAACTTTGTTCAACAAAATTATTTTTATTTATAGGTTGACTGTGTTGAGACGTAAAAACACAGTGGCTGCTTTCATTTGTTTCCACCTGCCGCTGTAATGGTGACATTTTTTTTGCGCAGTTACATTGGCGAGATAGGAGATGTTGTTGTGGGACGTATTGTTGAAGTTCAGCAAAGACGATGGAAAGTTGAAATGGCCTCACGTCTGAATGCATCTCTACTACTTTCTTCTGTTAACCTACCTGGAGGAGAGTTGGTACGCGTCTTTCATTTTTCTTCGGGGCTGTGTTTATGGTTTCTTTAAAAGTGTACAAGCAGAAAGAACTGTGGTGGTGATGCTCTGTTATAATGTTATCATAGAGATGTTTTGTACTGATAATTGCAAGAAATATGTTTAGTAGGAGTGACCTCTTAATAATGAGTAAATAGAAAATAATACCATATTATCATACTTGCTATTTCTTTATGCATTTATGTCAGTTGTTAATTAATGTACAGTGAAAGGAAGTTGGCAGTCATAAAAAAAGCCACCATAACAGTTGTTAATAATATTTCTAAGATTCATACACCAAGGATTATTGTCTGAACACAATCGGCTTATTCCTGGTAGAAATAAACATTGTGACAAACGTTTCTCTTTACTCTGGCTACTTCTGCATTCTGTCTTGGTTAGATATAAGAATTTCCCACTTGTGTTGGGGAGTTTCTTCAAATCGTACTATATTTTTTCCAAAGTTCTTTTCTATATTAACAAAGACTTCCAAAGGGCTGTAATTTTGATAGCACTTACTTCCTCAAAGAAACTACTTATAAATGTAGGCAAAATGAAATTCTAACCCCATGCATACACACAAACTATGGCACTCAGATATTAGCCTTCCAAATTTCTTCTTTATTATCCCTTTGTGCAACAGTGCAACATAGGCGGCTGCATTTCCGATGGAGGCGGAAATGTTGTAGGCCCGTGTGCTCAGATTTGGGTGCACGTTAAAGATCTCCAGGTGGTCGAAATTTCCGGAGCCCTTCACTATGGCGTCTCTCATAATCATATGGTGGTTTTGGGACGTTAAACCCCACATATCAATCAATCAATCAACAGTGCAACATATAAGTCCCACTTTTCCATCTGCTGGGAAAATGTTCTCCCACATCACCCATTGCAATTAGCACAATGCTAAGTAGGTTGTATCTTAACCAAGTCTTTTGTAACCTCAAGAAAAATTCTTTTACCATGCTTTTGAAGGGCAGTTGTAGTGTTACAATGGCATTTAATATTGGTCAATTTTCTTATGATAGCTTCGGAATTTTCCTCTTATTCAGATTTATGGAACTAGCCGATCAAAATAGTGGAGAATTTTCTTTTTTTATGGTTTTTCAGAGAGGTGCCTTTAGCTTCCAGTCATCACATGTTTCTGTAAATTCACGCAATATTTGACCAATAATTGCATTAGAGAAATTTGGTACCCATTGCCCCATTCATCCCTCAGCGCTATTACGGACATCGGGGCATAGAAATATTTTTCTTGATATTGTATACCTCCTAAAAAGTTTGCTCATATTTAGGGACAATACCTTAACTTGATAATTTTCACAGCAAAAGCAAGCAAAGCAAAATCGACTCAGAAATGGTTGGTGCGTGCGGTGAAGTAAGCTTTACAGAAACAGACCACAGCGCCACGAAAATGCACAATAGGCGCAACTGCGCGTAGTGTTCTCTTGCTAAAATGAGGTTTGCACAACTTTTCTCTTCACAACTTGACAAGTGACACTCAGCAGTGCCACTTCTTTGCCCATTTCATTGCAAAATACCTGTTGATGCATACTGATCATGAAATTAGTTTCAAACTATTTCTTTGTAGTATATAGGACTATACCACAGCCAATTTTTATATTATTGGTTCAAAAATATAGGTGAACCTACAAAGGGTTAAACAAGACTCTTTTGTACTTCGTGAATTAACTTCTCATTTATCTTCTACTGCCTTTAAAGGAGTACCATACTGATAGGATATTTGGTCAGATTTCTTAGTATGTGCAAGGTGTAGTTGTATTTGTTTGCCATTATGTATATAACATGCACATGAATTTGTGTTTGAATGTTGGAACGTGTATACTTTTTTGTGGGTGCTCTTCGCAATTGTATTGTTTCTCGCTGTTGCTCAATATATTCTGCACATGTGCGTTTCACAGTTATCAAATGGTCAGGCTCCTCGTTCGCAAGCAGAGCCACAAATAATTCAAGCCCACATAGCAAAGTTTGTCTGTATTTTTTTTTCTTAAATGGCTGTGCAGTTCTTTCTGCTAATTTTTAGTGAGAATCATAAAAACAAAGCAAGCTGCATCCATTTTCACAAATCATAGTTGATGATACTAATTGCTATATTGGTAATCTTGCTGAATAGTAAAATGGCATGCTATTTGCATACATCTTGTAGACAGGTGTAAATAAATCTTGGCAATGATTGAAGCTGTATGTAAATAAAGCAGTGGAAATCATGTTAGCCCGTGCTATGTTCATTGTTTGTTGTTTGATGTGCTGACAAACTCTTTCAGAGAAGAAAATCTGCTGAAGATGAGCTGCTAATGAGGCAGTACTTGTGTGAAGGTGATCTCATCAGTGTATCCTTTAAATTTCTTAATTTGAAAAAACATGTGAATTACTGCATGCAAATATACAAAAGAGAGTGCAGATTAAGTAGACAGAGCTGGTATGTTTTATCTCTGGACAAGCAGGTATTCATCTTTGGATATTGTACTTTATCACGTGAGACTCTTAAGAATTGTGCTTGGGCTTCTGCCACCATTGAAAGCCCAGAACTACGCTAAATTTGCCTGGAAAGCTCCAAGTGGCTTGTTTTTCATCCTTTCCCATGTGCATGTTCTGAAGTGTTGTTTCTTGCACTGTTTGCTGCCAAACACGTTAACTTAGCAGCTACATCACTAGGCTGAAGTCCAGTCAGTGTTTGCTGATGGGTCCCTGTCACTACATACAAGGAGTCTCAAATATGGCAAGGCAAGTTCCCTTGTGAAATTTGGGCACGCATGAAATTCCCGACACTGTAAATATATTGTGTCTTCTAATGTTCATGTTTCAAGTAAAAGTGGATGTGTCATAAAAATCTAGCCAGTGTTAGCCGTATATTTTACATTACTTCATTTTGCATGTCTTGGAATTAATTTTATGTGCGACCTGAGAGTTTAGGTGCTTTTGGCAGTTGCCTCAAGTGTGCTCAGATCTGTTGGGTGTGATGGGCTGAAACTTACTCTTGTGTGCTAACCATCATGTGCATGAGTCTTCTATTTAGATTCTACTTAAAATCTGCTAATTGGGAAAACAATATTTATCAGCCAAACAGCTCTTTTAAAATCGTTTCATTAGTGTATACCATGATGAGTTTGGCTAAAATGAAACTTTGTTACTCTTAGTCTTTCTAAAGAAGTAATACATGTGAATGTCAGAAGTGTGTTATATTAATATATTAAATTCTAGGAAAAAATTGCTCTCTTTGGGGCTTGTGTTGTTAGCAAATAATTTGCATTTATCTTGCTTGCCTTTTATTTACTACAGGCTTTCTAACAAATTACATAATGACTATTTCTCTTGTTTTCCTTGTGAATATCTGCCAAAACGTTTTGCAATTTCCTAGATTTACATGTTCAGGCAGTGATCACACTTTACGAGTGTGTTTCTTTCTTCTTTTGTCTCCACAAATATTCTGGAAGGTAGAAAGAGGAGAATCGGAATGGCGACAGGCCCTGGCTTAGAGCTGCAGGTGATTCCATAAGTTTCCAGCCTCACATTTAAAACTAGCAATGATTTCAAAATTGCCAGCTCAGGCACATAGTGCTATTTATAAAAGGCATGCATATGAGTTTCAACTCAGTGCATTTGTTTGTATGAACTGCTTTGGTGCAATAAACGAAGTAATACGGGTGATTTTAATCATGGCATCCAGCTAGTTTACGACAACACTCCATTTTCTGTGGTGATAATTGCAAAGTCTGCACTGAAGGTCTGTGGCTTTGAAGAGGTCAATCACCCACCCTATGATACAGGGCCTAGCTCGTAGTGAATATTTGCTCATCTTAAGGCTGCTGATGATGAAGCATAGAATGCTTTCTGCGAACATGTTGAAGTTCATGCTATTTTATGAAGGGCATAAAATGTTAATACAAAGGAATGAAACATGTTTTGAAGGAGAGATATATTGAAAAATGGCACAGTTGTTTCACTTCTATCACTATCAAATGACGGTCAGGCTAGAAACTCGTAGAATCACCTTTGCATAAGCGCTTATTATGTTCTTGAGCCTTGTATATCTAGTTTTCTTTGAAAAGTCTTGGTCGCTGCTTCCGGTCTGGCCATGCAAAGCACTTTGTGGTCTCTCTACTTGTACCGAGACCTTTTTGCAGTTAAAGGGAAGCTGGAGCACTTTTTCGAAAATTGACTTGGGAGCGTGTGAGGACAACATGATTCCTCCTGAATTGGGTAAACGATGTGAGAATTCTCACAAGCAAACACAAATAAAGCTTTTCGGGGAAAAAACATGGGTTGTGGCGGCCGGGCTTCTTAAAACGTCGAGCGAATGCGGTGATGTCATGCTCGGTATGCCGCGTCATCCGCAACAGCATCACTGCTGAAGCATGGCCTCGTTGATTAGTTCTGGTAGCGACATCTCATGCGTTAGTCACATAGGCCATGGTTGAAAATATGAGGCGCTTGCTCACGTAGTGCTTGCTACATAGAATGCATTTCTTTCTCTGCTTACGAATTCAGTCGAGCAGAGGGTGAAGGTGTGGCCACTTGGTTTCACCGTCGTTTTGCAGCCCAGCTGACCGCATCTCGTCAAAATGTGATAGTTAAAAACACTAAATCTATGCAGTCCCCTGTTTTACCATACTTGCAGTGTCTCAACATGCTGCATCTGCACATGGCTCAGTGTAAGCGACGCTCACATAAACACGTCTGGTGAGCAGCCGAACCTTACGTCGAAGTAAAAAATGGCTCTACGAGAGAAAACAAAGATGATATAGGTTTCCACATCCACACTTTTGGCACATTCGCGGAAGTGGAGCAAGAAAACTTTTCTTTCACGCATTCTAAAGCTCGTGCTGGGTGATTTCACGTAAGATCGAACAAAGCATGGCTGGTTGACATCTTAAAGGGGCCCAGAAACACTTTTTTAAGTAACCACAACATTAATTCATTGGAAGAGTTTATTACCCACACAATCAACTACGCAAAAATTTTAAGAATCCGCCCAGTGCGTGTAGAGTTACAAAGGTTTGTCGCATGCTACAATTGCATTCTCTCTTCTCTCGTCCCGGCAAAAGTGCTGAAAGCTAAGCAGGGAGGGATGGTAGGGCCACAAAAAAATCTCAGGTGCGCCTTGCGACCTTGAGCACTTTTTTTTTCTTCGAATGCACAGCTTTTTCACTGTGATCGCGCGCACACGTCGACAAGTAGTGGCTTCCTACGGCGATCTCTGTAACGAGCAAGCGCGCCCTGTTCAAATCAGCCAATCACTGATAGATGGGCTTGCTACGTTTGATTTTTGGGTATATTCTATGATTTGTTGAGAAAAGAGAAAGCAATTTTTAACTGACTTTGATAATTCATTGCGTATTCCAGGCCGCGAGCTGCGCTATAATATTTGGCTTGCCTGTTGGTAGCCTCTACTATCGATCGGCAGCGTTTCCTGACCATGCTCAAAAAGTGTAGCATAGCCCCTTTAAATTTCTTTCAAAATTTTATATATTGTTGCTTGATTAGTAGAAAGAAGAGATCCGCAATCAGTTTTGCTGTAAAAATTTTTTTCAAAGCACAGTAAATCAATATTGACAAAGAAGTGAAGTGTCACCGTTACTTGCCCCTTTTTTTTTTAATTTGATGATGAATAACGCAAAATATATTAAAGCTATGTACTTTAAATTTGTTTTGCTTAATGTAGGCATACTTGTGCTTATGTTCACTTATATTTTGATTCTCTGTGTAGTGTAGATTTTTTTTAATAAACATTCTCAAATTAGACTTAAAAAAATTTTTTCCCTAGTTAGCAGGCTTTTATTTAAAAAAAGACCTATGAGAGAGTGACGAAAATTCCGCATTACTTTCTCAGCATGCTTATTTATAAAACTACCAAAGTTTATATTAATAACACTTTTCAAGAAAAAGATACATTTACGCTAACTTTGCACTAATGCACAGCAGCAGAGCAAAGCTTGAGCACTATTGCAGTAAAATGAAGTGTGAGCAGCAGGCTGTGGGCACGGCCAGCACAAGTCATCTGCTGCCACTATATGAGGTGGGTGGGTGCACCCGGTAGTCTATAGTTAGGCATTTGTTCCCTTTTGATTTGGCTCCTGGAGCATCACCTTTATGGTTTCCACTCAGATCAATTCGAACAACGCAGTTTCTCTGGCTAAAGCGGCTGTCGCTGCGTGCGGGAAGCGAGCGCTCGCAGCTTCCTAACGAGTTTTCAGGTGCTTCTCATTGGGGCAGCGCAGTAAAACTTCAACTTACACGTCAATGCTTCGAAGTGTTTTTTGTGCAGGTGTGGAATGCGGTCTGGGAACTTGAGCTACAGACAGCGAATCTGTGACTTTGGCCGTTTGCCTCTGTTTACATGCAAAGCACGTGCGTTGGAATCATGGCGTGCTCAAGTTAAATCAGTCACCTCGAGACGCTTTTGTTCAAATATACAATCACGTATTGTAGACATGCTTTTGTTTGCATTTGCTTTGGATGCACAAAAAGCTCAAACAATGTCTGTTATGTCTGCAATCTTAACAAAACGTGGCTGCTATGCGAGCAAAGGGTGGATAAAATGGCTATGCTTCAAAGCCCATGGGTGGAAGTTATTCCCGGCTGTATCGCAGCCTAGCCACCTGAGGACGAAAAAAACGAGCCCTCTTTGCCCCGAAACACATCAGACTGTGCGCGCTTGCTTGCTCCTCAATCCCGCTCTCATGGCCGCTCCCGTTACCAAACCATTTCGAAATCGGCATGCTCAATACAGTCGACAGCGATTTCTCGCCTTTTAAGAAACTGAAGTACACGCCTGCATTCCATACTTAGCGGGCAGGAAGTTTGATCTACCGTTGCCTATCCTTGCACACAGCATTTTTTTACGCGTTTTTATTGTAACTGCAAGTGAAACCATATATTGCAACATGTTTTTATTGATTGTGAAAGCTGATGTGTGGGAGAATAAGTGGGGAAAGTATAAAAGATATCAAAAATGGTCTTTTTTTTAATTGTCATCAGACGTTTGTTTCCCTTGCGCGCTTTTTCTTGAAGTTAGCGGGATTATATACTTGTAATAAAAAGTGTTATTAATATAGGCTTTGGCATCTTTATAAATAAGCATGCTGAGAAAGTGATGCGGAATTTGCACCGCTCTGTCGTAGGCCCTTTTTGAAATAAAGGCCTGTAAACTAGGCACACAAACGTTTTTAGGTGAAATTTGAGTATGTTTAATAAAAAAATCTGTGCTACACAGAGAATCGAAGTATAATTGATCGTAAGCACAAGTACACCTATATTTAGCTAAACAAGTGTGAGGTACGTAGCTTTAATATATTTTGTGTAATTCATCGTCAAATTCGAAAAAAAAACAGCAGAGCAGGTAAGCGTGGCACTCCACCTCTTCGTCATGATTAATTTACTGTGCTTCAAAAATATTTGTTTCTAGCAAAACCAATTGCGAATCTCTTCTTTCCACTGATCAAGCAACAATATATAAAATTTCAAAAAAAAAATGTAAGAGGTCAACTAGCCATGCTTTGTTCGATCTTACGAGGAATCACCCTACTGCTAAAACCATGAAAAAACATCTTCAGATCATCGAAAATAATATTGTTCTTCGTAAACCAGGAAATTTTGTCGAATTCTAAAACGTCTTGGGTTTCCTTTTAGAGTATGTTCACATTGGTGAATTTTTTTAAATTAAAAGTTAGAGGTCTATATGCACCTGCATCGTAAATTTTTCATTAATAGCTATTTTTCTCTTCAGCAGTCTTGGCATTTACTTGAAGATTGCGCCCACATATGTGGTTAGAGAAGAAGAGCAGGTTGTAATGATGGTAGTTCTATCGGTTCTATCACAAATGTATTTAAGTTGTCTGTAAGTATGGTATGCACATATACATTGTGCACTCTCAAGGATGAGGCACCATCCTTTCCTATTTCTAACTACTTAATTCTGAATCAGATTTTTTGCTAACTAGATTTTGTGGAATGGCTATGTAAATATGCCTAGAAATCTTGTGCTCTCGTTTCAGCATTTTAGAGCAGATGCACTTAATCTCGAGTCCTGTCACCACTTATCAGTACATGTGCATAGACTTGTGCATATTGCGCTGATGTGTCAGTGCAACATTTGCGAGGTAACACCTCATAGAAAGCTTGTCACATGAAGTGGCTGAGCACTATTTTGCTGCCTCCATGTTCTCAAAGCCCTCAACAAAAGATCACGGCCTCCTACACGCAGAAAAAGTCCTAATTTTATGTGGTGCATTGCAGGAGAAAAATTATGCAAGGAATTCGTTAAGGGGCCTGTGTTTTGTAAATTCTGCACAGCTTGTAAAAGTGTATCTGAAAGATTTTGTGCTCTGCATAGTTAGCGGGCATAATAAAACAAAGCACTATCATTGTTTTATGCAAGAGACGTGATCATATCTGCAGTAGTGCATTTGCCTGACGAAAAAAAAAAAGCTTGGTTTTCTTCAAGTACTGTTTAAACAGTACAAATTTTCTGTCTTCTCTGTTGTGTCCTCTCTTGTTAATATGGAGCATAGTTAGCACTAATAATATTAGGCAGCTTGACGCTGCTGTTTGTGTCTGGATGTGTACAGCAAACCCAAACTTATATCGACATTTAAGAGCACCGCTTATTTTGGGACATAATGTATTGTACTCATCATATAGCATGATTCCTCAGGAAGAGCCTGCATGCCTACTGTTTTTAAGCTAATTATATTGCAACTAATGTGTGCCTAAACTGTGCATTTCTTTGTGGCTAACATGAATTTAAGATGAGGGTATCTTATTTTCATGAGAGGAGACTTGTGGGGTTTATTTCCCATGTCTGCATTGTTGTGGTTAATCTAACACTAATCTATGCCTTTCAATTCGATGCCACAGCTGGGCCAAGGCACTTTGGTGCTTGTGTCACCATCGTTGATCAAGCGCTGCAAAACTCACTTCCACAACCTTCCTTGTGGTGCCCAAATTATCCTGGGCAACAACGGTTATGTGTGGATATGCCCCCTTCCATCTGAAGAAGGCACGAAGTTTGTTCAAAGTGTCGATGTAAGTCATAGCTGATGTTTTATTTTCATCACCTGCACTTAAAAGTATGCTTACTGGGCCTATCAAAGCATAGTAAATGCCTGTATAAATGAGCGCAAAGGAATACCATTATTTAAGAAGTGCTTGTGTATAGTTATTTTATTGTCTTCATACATTGTGTTCCCTTCAGTGCACATTGCAGGATCATCCAAGCTGTGCTTCTCATGCTGGTGGCCTATACACGACTCTGCAATGTGCACACGAAATGTACAGTATAGCCTCGTTAATTCAAAGTCACTGTTGCCGCAAGAAATCTTCGAATTGAATTAACAGAACATAAAAAATGTGGGATGCAAGGAACTTGAAATTATTCAAGGTAATCAGGGCTGATGTGCCAGCTTGTTTGCAGCTCCAAGGGTTGTGTTTTCTCGCAAAACTTGGTCTTAATTTAGCCGCAAACACAGAGGAATGGCGGGCTTCACTGCTGCCGCTGAAAAAGCAAACGCTGTCATCAACTTAAATGCGCACCTGCGCAAAACAAGACGTGCTTCACTGTAGCACAGTAGTGACACGCGGGCAGCATGTTGCCTGCTCCTCGCAGCGTCAGCAAGTCATGATGATGCCATTCGGCCATTCTTTCTGGTAAAATAAAAAATTTAATGGTGGCCACCAGGACGAAATTGGCGATATGCTTTGGCTGGAAACCATGGTCTTTGAAGCCTTCAGACTCATTTTTCGAAGTTTCGCAAGGGCGTCTGCGTAAGCAGGCATTCGGTGTGGAGCAACACCACGGACTTGAGCCAATGGGGGGGGGGGGTCGACTCCCTCCGACGCCTAGCAGTGTGTGGCATTGCCGTGTCCGGGGAAAATTGGATCCTAGGGGTTGAGTCGACACCGGTTGATCGGACCTTTAAGGCCCCCCAGTGGAGGCAACACACTTCTTTGGCCCTGGCTTCATGTAGATGGCGCCCCTGGGCTGACCCACCCAGGGGAAACTGGCAGCGGCTTTTTCCTGTCTCTCTCTCCCCTTCTCCTCGTCTTTCTCGCACTTTAAATCTTTCCTGTCTTCTCCTCTTGTCTATTTACTTCAAAATTTCCTTGCGGCTACAGTTAACCTTGTGTATGTGCTCAACCTTGGGGCTCATGTATTAGGTTATAGCAGCAATGTACAGCTGATGTCATCGGCTTTACACTTTAAGTTCTACAACGTCTGCTAGTTGGGCTCCGAGGTGCAAGGCTGCCATTGCTGCCGAATGAATCAATATTGTTATGAGGACATCTTTCCCCATCTACTTGATTGACACCCTTCGAAGAGGGTGAGCACTGCATCATGAAGCTCTTCCGTAAACCAAAAGAAACTTTTCCGCGTTATGATGTAATACACAGTGATAAAGCAGATGTATTTGCACGTGTCATCTCTCCGTTCATTGTTTCAAGGTCGTTGAGTGATAATCTAGGAGCAGGATATAAGATCACTAGAATGGCCAGCAGAGACCTCTTGTTTGAGGTTCAAGATAATGAGCAGTACTGTAAGCTCAGCAGCCTTAAGACACTAGGAGAAAGATTCGTTTCAGTTACCCCACACCGATCTATGAACGTGTCGCGAGGAGTTGTCTCTGACGCAAATCTTCTTCACTTGACAGAAACTGAACTCTTGAAGGGATGGCAATACCCTAATGTGACCAGTGTGCAAAGAATTAAAATAGGGCGTAACAACAAAGAAATCCCAACAAAACATCTGATTCTTATGTTTACGACCAGTGATCAACCTCAGACATTTGAGACAGGCTACATAAAGTTAACAGTAAGACTGTACATTCCAAATCCAAGGAAGTGTTATCAATGCCAAAGGTTTGGCCACAGTTCCCAGAGCTGTTGTGGTAAGCTCACTTGTGCCAAATGTGGAGCTTAAGGCCACTCCTCTGACAGCTGCAATGACACTTCACAGTGTGTAAATTGCCATGGATCACACGCTGCATATTCAAGATGTTGTTCACAATGAAAAAAGGCGAAAAAGATCGCCACCCTGAAAGTCCTAGAAAATATGTCATCCAAGGAGGCCCGGAGGAGATGCTCTCATTCCACGGTCTGTCTTATGCTGATGCGGCGCGCCAGGGGGTGACGTCGCATTGGCCTTCGCCATTTGCTCGGCCCGCACATTGCGAGCCGGCTGTGGTGCCTGCCCCCCAGGTGGAAGTAGCTAAGCCCACTCCGCCTACCTTGCAAGAGAGCTCGGTGAGTGCAGGAGCGTCAGGCACTCGGACCACGTTTCACCAGATGTGGTCTCACACGAAAACTCTCAGCCTGCATGCACGGGCATCCAGTGCATCCAAAAAAGCAATGGACACAACACCAACTCCTCAGGTGCCAAAAGACCGGCGCCGATCGCTTGACGAAAATCTAAAAACCTATAACAGGGTCGGACAACGGCCCTGTTGTGTAAAAACACCTGCCCACATAAAGACACCTCTCCCGTGTGCGCACAGCACATTTTTATTGCCATTATGAATACAATACTCATTCAGTGGAATGTAACTGGCCTGTTTAAAAATCTTGATGACATTCAGGAACTTATTCATAAACACAATCCTAAAGTGCATGCGTGCCCAGGAAACACACTTGAATCCCAATAAACAAACTTTTTTACATTTTGCTGTGTATCGTAAAGACCGAAATGGTGCACTTGCATCATCAGGTGGTGTAGTAATTATAGTAGATAAAAGCGTTGGCTGTCAACATCTGCATCTTCAAACACGTCTTGAAGCAGTCTGTTAGAGCTTTACTCCTAAATAAACTAGCAGTCTGTTCTCTTTACATCATCCACTCACCAAACATGAACTCCAATCGCTTATAGGTGAATTACCAGAATCGCATGTGGTTGTTGGAGATTTTAATGCCCACAGTGACCTATGGGGCGACTCTTGCTGCGATGCCTGAGGTCGTTTGGTGGGATAGCTCCTTTTCTCTTCTGGCGCTTGTATATCACATGAAAGAGAACCTACATATTATAATATTGCTAACAAATTGTACTCATCTATAGACCTCAGCATAGTTACATTGACGCTCCTGCCTAATCTTAAGGGGAGATGCGGGTCGAATAACGCGAGTTTTCTTCAATACTACTATTTTTTTATTTTCGCTTGTTTTGATAAGATTAGTTACCTCTATTGTTCTGAAAAAGAAAAAAATACATGTCGAGACTTGACTGGAAATTTTTTTAAATTGTGTCTAATGAAGACAAGTTGCCTGTTAAGAGGGCCAAAGTGCGCAGTCTTCGAGCACCTGTCCGCCGATAATGCGCCGCCGCTCTCCATTGTTGATTGCATGAGGTAGAGTCGAGTCTCACTCTTCAGATAACGATAGCTTTCTGTGCTGATGCAGCACAAGAATGAGTAAAAAAAAGCATGTTTTTACACATTTTTTAAGCATCGCGACTGGCTTATCACGTGGTATGGATCGAGGACAGCCATTGATCGCTGTGTGCCTGTATGTGCTGTGAAGCCTACTTTCGGGGTCCATGTCTTGTCGATCAGCGCAGCTGAACAATGCTTTTCGCTTGTATTATCTCCGTTATGAATGAAAAAGGAAAAAATTCATTGCTCATGCGGGAAATTCGTGGCGATGCGCTCTGTAGGAATAGGCTACGAGCAATTGGTTCGATTTGCAGCAGTTTTTGGCTTGCAAAAGCCAGTGCATCAAAATTCATTCACAGCCATCAGCTGGAAAGTTCGTGATGCGGCAATGGATGGCGTCAGTGCCAATCTTGTGAGGTCGAAGGAGCTCGCAGTGAGGGAACTTAGCGGGTATGACATTGCCATTATGAACGACGGTATGTGGCACAAACCTGCCGCAAAATGGCATTGACACTGTTGTGTCTCTCGACACTGGACTTAGTTTAGATTTTGCAGTCATGTCGAACTTCTTCCTAGTTTGCAGTCGGCACAAGGCTCTGCCAGATGGAGCGGAAGATGTTTGGCAAGCGTTTCATGGCCCTGTCTGTGAGCGAAATGTCTTTGAGTAGTCAGCTCGAAAAAGTGGAGAGGGACAAACTCATGGTGCTGGCGTATTTTAGTGTCAGTGGCCACTACAAGAAGTATTGTCCTTTTGGTTTGCAAATTTCATCGCATTTAACAACATCTTTCATAAATAAAAACTGAATTTTAACTTGTTTTTCCAAAAACACAAATTTTGCCATTTTTTCATTTATTTTTTATTTATTTAAAAATACGGCAGGCCTTGAAAAGGCCCAGGCAGGAGGGGAAAGGTACAAACAAACAGTAAAATTGTACAGGTATCAAAGATAATATACTGACAACAAAATTAATCTACCACCAAGTAAACAAGCACTAAAAAAAGAATATACAGAATGAAAACATCAACAATACATAACTATCTAACAATGTACAAGGGTATCAGTACAAGGCTAAGTTTAAGACGTAAGATGCGATAGTGTCGGTATTGCTGAGTGCACCAAGAGGTAGGCTGTTCCACTCTGCTACTGTTCGAGGGATAAAGGAATACTTAAATATGTTAGTTTTGGTATTGTAAGGCGTTAATGGGGCAAAGTGGCGATGTTTTGTTCAGCGAGCAGTGAGAGGCTTACTATAAGATTCAGGAGAAAGAGGCAACGTATTATTATACAGCAGCAACATAAATTCAAGCTTGTGAATTTTTCTTCTTAGTTGTAAAGACTGAATGTTGTGTTGGGCTATTAAGATACTTGGAGAGTCACTGGTACAATATTTGAAATAGATAAATTTTACTGTTTTACGTTGGATTCTTTCTAGCGCATTGATGTTAGTTTTAGTGTAAAGAATCCACACGTAGCTGCTTCGTATTCTAACTTAGGTTGGACAAGGGAAGTATAGGCGGTTAGACAAGTCTTGGCAAGAGCTTGTTTAAATTTGTGTCTGAGGCAGCAGAGTTTTTTTTAAAGCTGAGTCGCAAAGATGAGAGATGCGGGAACTCTAACTAAGATTATTGCTTATTATGACACCTAGGTATTTCCAGTTATTAACCTC